CTTTTGACGTAGGTAATGGTGGTTGGCTAACGTGTCACCGATCAAGTTTGCCCCTGAACCCTCCCTCAAAATCGTGATTACTCGTGACCATGAATGGTGAAGTGCGCCAGCAGCACACAAACAAGATGTTGTTGATGGACGCCGCGAACTGGACCCACTCGGGCCCTGGCAGGTACCGTTGACAGCGCACGCGTGCGTGCTGAGCCCTGCGATGAAGAAGAAGCGCCAGTCGATGTTCCACGGCGCGGTGGCCACGTATTTCGATCTCGCAAGGCTGCGGAGCTTCGTGGTTTGATCTGCAGCAAGATCGTCACGAAGAAGACTGGGAGGTTGTTCTAGGCTGCAGATGAAGAGCCGAAGGGGTTGGGGTCCTCGTACTCAAGGACGCCGACGACGGTGGTGTTGTCGAACGTGCCTAGCGTGTGGTGTACCACCACACCTTCATGTAGTAGCTCGCGCCGGGGTACATCGGTGAGCATGTGGTTGGCAATAGAGAAGAAGAGCTCATCGTTCAGTGTGGCGTTGATGAGCCGTGGCGTTCATGAGCCGAGGCAAGAATTTCTTGTCGGGCTTTATGTACAAACAAAATTCATGACTCCGTGCACGGGCACATACCCAGTACTAATACTAAACATATAGTTCTCGTATGGATTCGCATCTAAGTACCCATTTAACTTTGTTATATGTAAATATCCATGTAATGAATTTTAGAAATAAATCATGTAATGAGATATCAAAATATAATAGGTATACTAGACTTTTTGGGGCTCATGTTCATCTAAAAACTATCAAAGTGACCGTTTTAGTCTTAAACTTTATATTTTGAATTCAGTTTCACCTCGTATTAGTCCTTGAACTTTATATTTTGAATTCAATTTTACCTGTGAATAGCAAAGTGCATTTTAATCCTTCAACTATTTCTTTGCTCATTGTCATTACTTGCCCTACATGGAACGTCGTAATGTCGTGCCAGTTAGCTCTAGGACCACTCACAATTTAAGATAAATGGTCACCGTTAGGTCATAGTGCCCCTGACATTGTCCCTAGCTATCGAATTGGACATCACACATTCGATATTTATATCCATATAATTCAAAATAAATATAAATATAGATCCAAATATCCTTGAATATGAATGATTGGATCGTTCAGATCCGTATCTAGTTTGGATATCATATATTCATATTGTTCAACTATAATATTATTTTTTGATTCCAATAATTAAATATAATTTCTAGCTTATAGATAAAAACATATTAATTTTTTATCATAATTGGTTATTAGTTGAGCCTTATGCTAGAAATAGCTAAGAAAAAGTTGTAGATTTGTTGTTGTTCTAATTTACCCGCGTTTTCTTAAATTAATCCCTCTATTTTAAATTGTAAGTCGTTCTATCTCTTTTTAGTGTATATCTAGGTATATGGCAATAGTAATATGTCTATAAAAGTCAGAATGATTTATAATTTAGAATGGAGGGAGTACTAAATAGTGTTTATAGCAGCTATAATTATTCCACAAAAATAATGTAGAGTAAGATATATATATAAATGACACTATTACAAGATAACATTCCAAATAACATTAGAATTATTAAGATAAAATTTTCTATTTGACACTGAAAAAATTTATGCTCTCTTATTTGATAACGAAACTTGAAATCTTTCTTATTTGTCTACCCTTTCAATTTTCCTTACCTATCTGATACTTCAATCAGTTTCAAGGTGTAACAGTGAAAGGTACTAATGGCTAGAGTGGGGTGAATTGCCTATAAAAATTTCTATAACAACACTTGACAAGGTGGTTAGACAATTATGAAGCGGAGCGAGTGTTGCGCTAGCCTATAAAAAATACAAGCCACCTACCATAATTCTAGTTACTATAGTCTCTAATTCACACAAGGGGCTAAGTCACTACTAATAAGTTAGTGAGCTCTTAAAGACTAACTAAAGAGCCTCACTAACCACTACACAAATATGAAAGATAGCTCTCAAAACTAACTACACTAGAGAGCTTAGCTACACTAGAGAATGTAAATACAAGTGGGGGTAGTGAAGATATACCGACGTGGCAAGCGATGATCAATCAATCAATCACAAGAAAACCAATGAAATCCTCGGGACAAGATGACACAATGATTTATCCCCGAGGTTCACTAGCTTGCCGGCAAGCTACGTCCTCGTTGTAGCGATTCACCCACTTAGAGGTTCACACGCTAATAGACATCACATGCCTAACCCGCAATCGGGTGCCGCACAACCAACACAAGATGGGGATCCACAGGCTACGAGCAATCCACTAAAGTATCTTTTGGCTCTTCGTAGGGAAAAGGTCTAGAACCCCTCATAACCACCACAATCGGAGCCGGAGACAATCACCTTCCTCCGCTCGACGATCCACGCTGCACCAAGCCATCTAGGTGGCGGCAACCACCAAGAGAAACAAGCAAAATCCGTAGCGAAACACAATCACCAAGTGCCTCTAGATGTAATCACTCAAGCAATGCACTTGGATTCACTCCCAATCTCACAAAGATGATGAATCAATGATGGAGATGAGTGGGAGGGCTTTGGCTAAGCTCACAAGGTTGCTATATCAATACAAATGTCCAAGAGAGTGAGCTAGAGCCAGCCATGGGGCTTAAATAGAAGCCCCCACGAAATAGAGCCGTTGGGCTCTCACTGCAGCCCAACTCGGGGCGACCGGACGCGCCGATTAGGTATGATCGGATGCACGCCTCAATGTCCTGTCAACCATCACCATCCACGTGTCACCTCCGTTCATCCTCGCGCGTACGATTCCAACAGTCAAATTCAAACCCTCGCGTGTTAATTTAAGACCAGACTCGCGGCAGCATGACCTGACGCGCCACCGTGGCATTCGATCGCTCCTACGCCCGAGCTAGCCACGTAGTGACCGGATGCGCTGCTCCTCACGGCTTCTCAGCGTAAGGTCACTTCCAGTAAGCATCTAGAGGCGAAATTTCACGACCGGACGCATCAGATCACACGTGACTGGACACAACGGTGAGTTAGGTCAACTCTGCCTTGCTCTATTGCTTGCGTTAGCGTACGTCATACACGACCGGATGCACCTCCGTCGCGTCAGGTCACTACTTGTGCCAGCGTCCGGTCAAGGACTGACGCCACGCTCTTCAATGCACCGATGACCGGACGCGTCGAACCCCGAGTCCGGTCACTGCGTGACATGCGTCCGGTCAGAGGAAAACAACTCCTCCACTTCACCAACTTCTCCACCCTCGAACAAATATGCCAACCACCAAGTGTATCACATTGTACACGTGTGTTAGCATTTTTTTCACAAACAATTTCAAGGGTGTTAGCACTCTACTAGATCTAAATGCATATGCAATGAGTTAGAGCATCTAGTGGCACTTTGATAACCGCATTTCGATACGAGTTTCACCCTTCTTAATAGTACGACTATCTATCCTAAATGTGATCACACCCACTTGGTGTCTTGATCAAATTCACCTTTGCCTTGAGCTCATTTTGTTTTTCTCTTTCTTTCTTTTCAAGTCGAGCACTTGATCACCATGGCCATCACTACCATCAACAAGATCTTCATTTGCTCCACCACTTAGAATAGTGCTACCTATCTTATGATCACTTAGAGCAAATAGGTTAGCACATAGGGTTTCATCAATTTACCAAAACCAAACTAGAGCTTTCAAACGGTGTTAAAATCCAATGTAAAAGACCATTTTGCCCCTGCTGCCTCACGTGTCGCCATAGCCTCCTCACCGGCGGTGTGGTTGGAAGCCGACGCTACGCGTGGGCTGGGTGCGCAGGGGAAGCCGGCAGCCTGTTGCGCGGGGCATGGGTCGGCGGCCGGGTAAAGGGCATGCGGGCGAGACCGGGCATGCGCGGGCGGCGGCCTAGGTGCCGCATGGGGCCACATGTGGTGGCAGCTCCGAGCAATGAGGAGGCTGTGGCGGCACGTGGCGTGGCAGCGTGTGGGGGCCACAAGGCGTGGCAGCGTGTGGGGGCCACAGGGCGCACCGGCAACGAACCACGATAGCGTGGGTGGCAGCAGCGACAGCTAACCACGGCGAGAGAGACGGCCAGTGGGGACGGCCAGTCACGGAGAGAAGAAAGGGAGAGAGAGGAAGAAGAAAGAGACAGAGGGCAAAAACATCATTTCACAGCTATTCTCTCACCTCCTAAGCCGGAAATAAATATTTTAATATGTCTGGTGTCCTTCAGCAAATTTGGCACAAACTAGAGTGTTCGCCAGCAAATCAATCTTTTTCGGTGTCCGCTGGCAAAGCGACCTCACTTTCAGTGTTTGCTAGCAATTTTTGCCATGTTTTTTTTCTTAATTTAAGTATCCTAGAGATAAGTTCTTTGAGAATAATTATATAATTGAATGCATATTTATACCCATTATTCATCATATATATGCTTAAATTTAATGTGATTACCATATGCCGCTATTGGAACTTAGCATCCGCAATAGTGCCTCCTATCTCGACACCAATTCACTACCAACTCACGCTATACACTTTTTAGTACCTTGTAGTTCAAAGACTACAATGACTATTCTGCCTATATACGACCAAAACAACGCTTGACCTAGTATTAAGGTTTCGTATTTCTTAAGTTGCTGATTCCCACTTTCACATGCAAGACTGGTGAACAAGATAAGGAGATCTCACTTCTTTTCTTGTTTGGCTAAAAATAACCATGCATGCAAGATCTAAAGAGACTCGCATACACGTATTAACTTTGCAGGTTAGCTTCTCAAAGAAGATAGACAGCGTGAGGAATTGATTTCAGTTCTCTCTCTTTTTTCAAAAAAGAAAAAAGATACATAGAATGAATTGCAGACCAGACGTGTAATCCTTAATCAATTTGATTTTTCTATGGAATATGACATTGTTATAAGATGGGCAATAACCAATTCAACTTGTCAGCAAGCTAAGCAGAATAATAGCAACTATGCATGCCGTAGCACAAATAGTTCTTGTCTACACGTAACCCATGGGGACATATTTATGGGGTATCGTTGCAATTGTTCTTCCGGCTTCCAAGGAAATCCGTACATACAGGGCGGCTGCAAAAGTACATCCCTCTCATCAATCAGTAGTTCAGTACATCACTCATACCCAAAATGGAATGCATATTAGTCAGATCACATGCTCTAACAGAGCTATAATTCGAAGTTCAATCGGATCAAATTATATAAACATTGGATTTGTTTTCAGCATAGTATAATACAAGAATATATGATACTCTCATAATTCCAAATTACAAGACATTTTGGTTTTTCTAGATACATAGATTTTGCTATACACTTATTTATACACTAATGTCTAGATACGTAGTAAAATCAATGTATCTAGAAAAGATAAAACATCTTATAATTTGGAATGAGGAGAGTATATTTGTAACGGTCAATATACATATTGAATAACAAATTAGATGTCTACCGATATTGATGAATGCTCGCTGCCAAACTACTGCAATGGTACATGTGAAAATATCCCTGGAAGCTATAAATGCACGCCATGCCCTCACATTAAAGAATTTGATTCTATTAAGGGGCAGTGTGTCATATCGACTAAGCAACGGAACCTTCTTTTGGGTAAGTCATAGCAAACAAAATCCCCTTGCAATTACATTTTGTAACATTAACATGGTCTTATAACCACAGCAAATGCATATAGGTTGCAATTGGAATTGGTTGTGGCCTTGGCTCCATATTTATTGCATTGGGTGCAATTCTACTTGTCAATAAGTGGAAGAAAGGCATCCAAAAGAGAATCCGACGAGCATACTTCAAGAAAAATCAAGGTTTGCTATTGAAGCAACTGATCTCAGATGAAAGTGCTACAAGCAAAACAAAGATATTCTCATTGGAGGAACTAGAGGAGGCGACTAACAACTTTGATGCTACGCGTGTTCTTGGTCGTGGAGGACATGGAACAGTTTATAAAGGGATTCTATCAGACCAACGTGTGGTGACTATAAAAAAATCCAAAATAGTGGAGCAAATAGAGATAGACAAATTTATCAATGAGGTTGTCATTTTGTCTCAAATCAGTCATCGCAATGTGGTGAAACTGTTTGATTGCTGCCTAGAAGATGTGGTGCCCTTGCTTGTATATGAATTCATTTCAAATGGAACTCTGTATGAACTTCTTCACACTGATACTACATTAAAAATGTTTGCTTTCATGGGATGATCGCATTAGGATTGCAACAGAAGCAGCAGGGGCTCTTGCTTATCTACACTCAGCAGCTACAATACTAATTTTCCACAGAGATGTCAAGTCTTCAAATATACTATTGGATGACAACTTCACCACAAAGGTTTCAGATTTTGGTGCTTCAAGATCTCTTTCACTTGATGAGACCCATGTGGTGACAATTGTTCAAGGAACATTCGGTTACTTGGATCCACAGTATTATCATACCGGTCAACTAACGGAGAAGAGTGATGTATACAGTTTTGGAGTAATACTTGTGGAACTCTTGACAAGAAAGAAGCCAATTTTTATTGATGATTTAGGTGCAAAGCAAAGCTTGTCCCATTTCTTCATTGAAGGACTTCACCAAGGGTCTCTTATTGAAATAATGGATACTCAAGTTGTGGAAGAAGCAGACCAGGAAGAGATTAGTGAAATTGCCTTACTTACATAAGCATGCTTAAGAGTCAAAGGAGGAGAGCGACCGAGTATGAAAGAAGTAGAAATGAGGTTACAATTCCTAAGAACAAAGAGGCTAAGAAAAAGACAACATTTACTTGAACAAGAAGGAGATATTGAGCCTTTGTTATGTGCAGAAGCTAAAAATTCACTCGAACATATCAACCTTGTTAATGCTACCCATATAATACCTCAGGAGACCTCTAGGTGCTACAGTTTGGAGCAAGAATGTGTGTCTTCGTTTAGGCCATGCTAACTACATTTGTGCTAGATAATAAAGGGCTTTGCTTAGATACTGATTTATTTAAGATATAATATATTGTGAGCGAGCGTGGGACTAGTACCTATCTTCAGAATATTTTATACCAACTATCGGTAATGCATGAAGCAATACATTTCATTGACAAATGACCATGGCACAAGGGAGCCTACTAATTGAAGGAGACGACAGTAGCCAAGGCCCAAGGCCGCGGGGACGCATCAACCGGCTGTTCGTGCTGGGAGCGTCAGAGGAAAGAGGCAGAGGGCCTGTTCCGCTTGGCAGAGCCTCTACCGACTACGGCGACCTATGAACAGCAAAGTGCGGCGCTCGGCAGAGTCGCGGCGAGGAGTCGAGGTGCCCGAGGACGGAGTAGGCATTGGCGCAGAAATTGGGCCTGAAAGGATTTTCCTTGATGGGCCTGGGCGACGCTTTCGTAACTATGGCCCAAGAACTGCTGTCGGCAGCGTGGGTCAAGGACTTTTAACACGCCAGGCATCCATCCAGCCAGCAGCATGCTCACCGCGCTGGGGCCTCATGTCCGGACAATCCTTACTCCCAATTCAGTGCTGTTAGTTCTTTGCCTTGACCATTTGCCAGCAGCTTCGGCCAAGGACGACGAGGAGCCTAGATGCAAGCCAATGCTAAGTGAGATACTTATTACTTCATGGTACGAGCATGAAGCAGCAAGGACACAGGCTTAGCTGTCTGTGCTCGACTGCTCGTCCGGCCCCCGTTGCGCCTGCAGCCAGCGCATGTACGCCGGATGAGTTTAACACAAATCTTCTAGTAGTGTCGATTTGCTTCCCTGAGCTTTTTGCTGAATTTAAAAAGCACTATCAAATTCGAATACCGGACAACGCACTCCTTTTAACTTTCAAAACCTGAAATTCGGAGATGACCTCGTCCCTCTCGCAGCTGGTCTCCAAGAGTCAAGTGCATGCACTCCAAGCAGAACACGCAATCGGCTGCACAAGGCCTTGCAAGAGGGACGGTGGATTTCAGAGATAATTTGTGGTGTCTCAGTCCAGGCGCTGGTACCGAATTTTTTATTTTTTAGCTTTTTTTCGAAATTTTTTCACAAATATGCCTTAAGAGGTAAGATTTTAAAATCTGGACCCTTAGCTCGGCGCCATCGTTTCTGGGCCCGAGCTTCCACGTTGTTGCTGGCAGGCAGCTCGGCACCATCAACCCTGGCGCCGAGCTTGGCGCCGTAGATCTTGGCGCGGGCCCCAATCCTTTCTCTCTTCCTCTCCCTCTCTCTCTCGCAACCCCCTCGCCTCGCCCGAGCGGCGCACCGCCGCCGCCCGCGCCACGCCTGGCCACACCCGCCCACGCCGCCACATCGCCCGCGCCCGTGCCCGCGCCGCGCCTGGCCGCCCTCGCCCGCACCGCCACAGCACCCCGCGCATGCGCCGCGCCCCGCCGCGCCGGCACCGTGCCCGCCGTGCCGTGGCCGCACCGCACCCGCACCGTGCCGCCCGCGCCCGGCCTCGTCCTTTGTGCCGCCCGCCACCGCCGTGCCAGCCTCGCCGCGCGGAGCGCCGGGCATCCCGCGCCCGCCGCGCGCCACCGCCATCCTCGGCCGCGCCCCCGCCGGCCCCGGCACCTGCAGCGCCCGGCCGTGCAACCGCCGGCCCGGCTCGTCGGCCTGACCCACGCCCAGCGTCCGCTGCGACTCCGTCGACGTCCGCGACTCCGTCATCGGACAGGTAAAAATTGTGAACTTGCAATGTGCGTACTTAGTTAGCTTTGATTCTAGTGTAGTAGTTTTGGCATTTGTTATTTACTAGTTAATGTGATGACTCAGGTAGTTGATTTAGTTAGTGATCTAGTGAGATAGATATGTAGATAGATAGAAACATAGATACATAGGTACATAGATATAGTTAGATAGCTACTTAGATAGGTAGTTATATATTTAGTTAACTAAATAGGATCTGGCTGTTTAGTGAGCACACTGTATCTATGTATGTAGTTATTATCTTATTTACTTAGTTTATAGTTAGAAAGTACTTGTTAGGTACTATCTATCGTGTAATTTGGACTAAATAACATGTGTTTCGTTACATGTTTGAAATAGATGGACAACCTAGTGATCATATATCATGGAGGCACCGTTAAAAACGATCGCTATGGATATGTTGAGTTTGTTGACATGGAAAGCATGCCTGTGCTATTCAATGAGAAGCCATCGTTTAGTGAGATGATTGCAAGGGCTCGGCAGGAGCTGCATTGCCTTGGCGATGATGATGATGGCATTGCAGTTGAGGGTGTACTGTACCTAGGTTCTCCTCCCAACATCCTTAGGCGAATGATTCCAATTAGATGTGCGGATCTGTGGGAGAACTATGTGAGATCGGCAATGAAGAGCCAACTGCAATGTTTGGACGTGGTTGTGCGTCGGGTGTTAGTTGATCACATCCCTCATGGGTTTTCCCCACCAATGGGTCAGCAGGCACACATCGACCCTCCCGTCCCGGAACCTGATATGGATGTGGAGGTTGCACCTACGGTTCCCGATGCTCAATCTGCCCCCAATGCAGTAGTTGGAGATGCTTGTCAGACTCATGTTGTTGTGGCAGATCCTCCTTATAAGATCCCTTTGACACAGAATCATCCGAGTAAGTGTCTTAACCGCATGGTTATTGGGAGCTTACCCCCTTCCTTACATCCATTTTTTCATTCTTTCCTCATTTCTCTACTTATGTTGCAGGAGACATTCCTGAAAATATGGATGTGCCCCCTGTTGCTGCGCAAGTGCACTGTGAAGATAGATTCCATGGCTCCAATAGTGTTGAAATTATGAATGATTCGGAGCCATACGAGATGGAAAGGGCTCTTGATTCTGATGATGATCGCCCTATTGGAGAGCTGACAGAGAGTGATGTTGACATGCTGAGGCGTATCTTTCCCGGCCGCCGTGATCCAAGAGTTCATGAGTTCAGCGATCTTGCTCATTCTGATTAGGCGTGTGCAGAAGGACGTGATGATGAGCTCCTAGAAGCTCCTGAGGCCGGCCATAACATGGTAATTGAGAATGGGAGGGTATTCAAGGACCTCCCTATATTGAAGAGGTCTTGCATTCATATGCAGAGCGCCGTTACACAGTTGTGTGTGATAAGGAACGCTGCCCATGGAGGGTTTGTGCAAGGAAGCAAAAGGTCACCGAAAAGTGGAAGATCACAAAAGTTGTCGGGCCACACAATTGTGCTGACCATGTGCTGACACTGAGGCATCGGCAGTTGACATCTACCCTCATTGCCAAGCGGTTGATAGGAATATTGCAGGGAGAACCCAACATGAAGGTTAGGACACTTATCAGGACCGTTGAGGCATTGTATGGAGGTTATGTGATAACTTATGGTAAAGCTTGGAGGGCTAAGCAGCGAGCGTGGAAGATGATATATGGGGACTGGGAGGATGGGTACGAGCAGCTGCCAGTACTTTTCAATGCAATCAAAGCGGTGAATCCAGGCATGCATTGTGAGTATATCCCAAAACCAAATGCATGGAAGGATGGGAGGCAGATATTCTTCCGTGCTTTCTGGTGCTTCCCTCAGTGTGTCGAGGCCTTTAGGCACTGTCGTCCCGTCTTCTCCATTGATGGTACGTTCTTGATTGGCAAATACCAGGACACACTTCTTATAGCCATATCCCGTGACGCGAATAACAAGTTGGTTCCTTTGGCATTTGCTTTGGTTGAGAAGGAGAACAATGACAGTTGGGGATGATTCTTGAGGCTAGTACGGATACATGTGGTTGGGCCTGGCAGAGAGGTTGGCGTTATATCTGATAGGCACCAGGGCATACTTAATGCCATGCGAGAGCAAATAGAGGGGTATGCAGATAGAGGGGTATGCTAAGAATGCTATTAATCGTTAGCACACTAATGCTAATGCTTCCCCTAGAGAAGCAATGCTACTGCACACTGATACAGCACTGTCGTATTAATTGTTAGCACACTTGCAAGTGTAGCATTTTATTTTAGTCGATCAGGGATGGGAATTACTTTATATGATCTCAAATTATGGAAAACATTGTTTGTGTGCAATTTGAACTCCTAGTTGAATTGGTGTTGCAATAATGTGAATTCTGGGAAAATGTCAAATTTGTCTTGATCCGGATTATTCTTTATTTTACCATTTAAGAATAACTCAACCTTCTATTTTTTTTAGTTTACTGTTTTAAATTTGCAATGTACGTGTACTATGGTAAATCCTGTCTTGGGTCTGGAAGTTGTCTTGATTTGCTATGTTCGTGACTTGTGAAGATTACTGAGGAACCGGGTGTCAGCTCGACAGGCAAGAGAGAGGAAGAAGGCTTATTTGACTGATCTGGAGGTGAAGGTGAAGGATCTGGAGAAGAAGAACTCGGAGATGGAAGAGAGGCTCTCCACCCTCCAGAATGAGAACCAGATGCTCCGACAGGTACATTTTATCTTGCGTTGGTTTGGCTATGTATTTGGCACATACAAATTTGTGTACTGTTTGATTATTTATCATCTTGTTAAATTTGTTTAGTACTTGCCATGCTTCATCGATCATGGACACAATAACGCTGTCTTTATTCTACATATACTGTTGTACCATCAGAACTGGAAACATTGTCTTATATTTGCAACATTCATTATATTGCTGCTTGAGTAGCTGTCGGTGCTCCAAAAAGATTTACTGGTTAATGGATTATATTCTATATTGCCATGGAATTTGGAGTTATATTGGGTTGCAATGTTT